TGGGAGCTATACCTCCTGCCCCCAAATACATGACCAATATTTTGAAAGAAACCTGGGGAGCTAATTGACATTAAGTTGGCAACAATTTCATCTCAGGGGTATTTCCATTTTAACAAAGGACGGAAGGCATGACCACCCTCAAAGGAGTGACTTGAATTCCTGTGGGTGATGCAGACCCTCCAGATGTAGAGCAGGTGGCAGGGGCTGGGGCACACTGGTTCCAGTTATCTCAGCACCTACCTGACTATTCTACCCCACTGAAGGGACATGGGGCTCTGTAGTTCCCCCAAACAAGTTTCCCATGTGGGGGTTTTGCTGCTATTCGCAATTCAAATACACAAAATCACTTGTCAAATATTCCAAGGACAGAACAAAACATTCTGAGAATTTCTAAAAACTTTGATGTAGAAATATTGTTAAAGGTAAAAGACTACTTTGGAGCTTTGATTCCTTAAAAAGAAGCAGAGAATAGGCACACACTGTTAAATGTTGTTAAATGAATTACCAAATGGGTGAGACAGAAATGGAGATGTAATCGTTTTATTTTAATAGTTTAAAGGTATTTGAGCTGACTTCCTAATTGTTTTTACTTTAAGTTATTTTACTATCAGTCACATATTCAAGTCCAGGCTATGCAAAGTTCACTCAATTTACACACTGTTAATAATAACATCCCTGCCTTTCTATGTGACAATGATGCCTTTGACTGACTGCCACATGGGTATGTTCCTCAGGTGTGTGCTATCAGAGAAAAGGGGGAGTGCGAATCCACCCTCTCATCTTGTGTCCAGTGAGATACAGCTGGAAGACACATGAGGGATAAAGTTAGTCATGGACCCAAAGCTAACTAATCTCTGTGATAAATACATATAGTGACACTCATACTGTTATACTGAAGCTTTCCTGAAGCTTTCTTGAAGACTACAGGCCAATGATTTCCTCCAATTAGAAACTGTTCCTTTATTTAAATTAATGGCATCTAAAATGACTAGAATTAAAAGCTGCACCAAAATTGTGAATGGGTTTAACCCAGTGAAGGCAGAACAAGTGTGTTGCATTTTGAGGGACATATGGCTACAAGTTCTTGCCCAGTTTCTGAGAGTGACCTGAGAGCAAGGCTTGCAGGGTAACTGGGCAGCTGTCTAGCTTACCATTCTGAATGGTTCAGATGAGTATGTCTTTGTGCTTGAAAAAACAGGATTTAGAAAATTTAAAGCAGGTGGTTATGGACTAAATCTCAGGCGAGAACTGAGCAAATGCTGAATGCATAATTCAAAGGTGACAATTAAAAGGTTGATTTCTCCCATTCTTTGTTTCTTTAAAAAAAAAAAGTAACTTGAAGCTGAAAGCTGAAACTTGAAGCACAGCCCAGCTGGTCATCGTATGTGACAGAATGTAGATGCCCCAGTAGCCTAACGGCCTTTATGTATTAGAAAGGACAGTGCAGTTTTTGAGGTTCAGAATAAATTTCCAAATATATTAGCAGGACCTAAATGTCGCATCCCTAAATTTTTAACAGCTGGTGAATGACTTATGTTGGAATATTCTTTTTATCCTTCATATTTGATTTATCAGACTATTTAGAAGATGCCTCTTTAAGCAGATCAAGTCATGACTAAAATTCCTATTTGAATAAACATTTATCATAAAATTTGGTTTAAAAATATATTAAAATACCATTTGTTTCAAAAACAAAGGCCTAAAATCTCATCAAGTGGCTAGAAAGAGTTAGGAGTATGGAAATATACAAGATATATCAGTTTGCTGAAATTACATAGTGTTTCATTGGACACGTAACTTTTCCACACAATTTAATTTTCATAGTCCAACTTATTTTGTAAAAGATTTAATAATAGGAATATTTCTCTCAATTATGATTTATAAATCTGCTTCTGAAATAAAATGTACAAACCAATAAGACCACAGATGTATCAGTTGAAAAAGAACCTTTTATGGCCCTTGAGGAGTGGTTTCCTTACTGAGGTCTGCTCTCTATATAAAATCCAATAGCGAGGCAGTCTCCCTTCTAGATGCTGTTAGTCTCCATCTCACTAGGGGGCTTTAGCGGGGTCCTTGGATTTGTGATGCCCTTTAAAACAGCAAACTTGAGTCTTACCATCCAGTCCATGAAGATTAGGGGAGACTCAAGAGTCCTCTCCAGGGATTAGTTGCTACTTTAAAACAATGCTGGATTTTAAAAGGAATTCTCCCAGGCACCAGTGGATTAATCTTGCCATTTCTCCATTGAGATAAATGAAAGGAGAAACAATGCCAGTAAACACTATTCTTTCAGAGGATCCTCCAAAACCAAACAATCTAGTGTGCAAATGCCAAGACTTATAAGGAGCAGGAAATATGTTGGGGCCTTCAAAATAAAAGAAATTCCCCTGCTTATTTTGGCCATGTACTTCTATTCTTTGCAGACTCAAACTAGATTGTTCACATGTAAGAAATATTTCCTTATGGATTCACCTCAGGAGATTCACACACCAGCCTGCTCCTCCTGGACCACCTGGTAGGCTGGAATATGCTAAGAGAATACAAATTAATATCTAAATTAGGCCAAAACAAATTTAACTGAGAGGGAAATCAACCTCATCATAATGATATTTAGTATTTTCAAAGCCCCAAATAAGTAATGTTTATAGTATCCATCCCTATTATTTCTATCATTAAATTATGTGATTAATAATATATAGAGCACAGATACTTAAACAAATTTCAAGTGGGAGAGAGGTACCATAAGTCTATCTTTGACAATTGAGTGAAATCAGGAAGTAAACATGATTTTAGAATTAGTCCCTGTGATAGCTTTGTGTCTTTTCTTTACCAGATCAGTGACCTTAACTATAACATACCATTTAACCTTCCATAGTCAGTGTAGGTTTTCCTAGTCCTGTGGCAACAGAGTATTTGTCCTTGAAGACAGTTCTATTCTATAAGAAGCTTTGGAATTTATTCATGGTTGTCTCTTACCAATGTTATGGAAAGGATTATTTTTCTGAGAGGGCTGGCCTCAAACACATCATCCAATTTAACTTTTTACCACCCTGAGAAGCCCCTAAATTTGAAAAATTTTTAATTGCCCTACTGCCTCTCAAATTGGAGAAGAGCAAAATGGGGAGCACATAGCATTTTATTAAGTAATCCAAATGAGCAGACACTGTTTTTGGTGTTTTTGACATTTCATTTAGTATTCACAACTCTGCAACATAGCTATTATCTCCACTTTACAGAAAAAGAAAAAGAATAAACAATTTTCTCAACATCACACAGCTACCATTAGGTAGCTTCCCAGTCTGATATCATAGTCCACTCAACTTGCAGTAAATATCCTTTGCCCTTCACCTATGATATGAGGATAATCGAAAAACAAGCTTGCCTTTATAAATAATGAAAAAAATAAGTCTGGAGAGCTTGAGTTAATAGGTTTACTTTCACTGAACTTGGACAATTTGGGGGAATAATTATTTAAACCAGATGATTTTCAAAGCTGTAAATATTATAAATGAAAAATTCAAATGTAAATATAGATAATAAAATTTATGGTGATAGAAGGACAATTGACTTTGGGTGGTGAACATAAATGCAATATATAGATGATGTATTATAGAATTGTACACTTGAAAGCAATATATTGTTTTATTAACCAATGTCACCCCAATAAATTTAATAAAGAAAGAAAAAAATTCTAAAGACAACAATAAGAAAAAGAACTTTCAGTTTTATCTGTTTTTAGGACACTGACAAGTGCATAGTTTGTAGACTTGAATGCAAGATGTGGTTAGTTTGCTACCTTGCTATAATTATTTTTCACACCAAATATCTTTTTAATGTTTGCCTTAAAAATAGCAGAATATTGATATGCAATGTGATTGCATATCTTTACCCATAAGGATTTTAGGGACTAATATCTTTCTAGTTTGCATAGGGTTTATTTAATTATTTCCTCTTTATTGTTTTGTTTTTAATTAGTATACAAGGCAATTTGATGCTTATTTGTAAAGCACATAAGTCATTTGTCACAATAAGATTTTTTTCCTTTGATGTCTTTATGGTTACCATTCTTAAACTGTTTCAAACCTTCAGTTTTACAAGTTTAGTTTCTTGCCAAAGTTTATGAATGAAAATATTTGGCAGTTGTGTCTTGTGTCAAATGTCCAAAATAAATCTTTTTAGTAACTTTTTTCTTTGTAAATTTCATCTTTCAATTACTACATTAATTACTTTTAAAATCAATATCACCTAAATTCACATAACAAAGTACATTTATTAGACCATAGCATAGTTTTGAAGCAGGTTGTGGGACAATGTGACAAGTTCTCTGATAAGCCCCCATTCACCAAGAGGTGAAATCTGACATGTTCCCTGATCCAACAGCTACTTCTAAAACTCTTCCCCATAAAAAAAAGCTAAAAATTGACATATATTTTACTCAGTATTTTTACCTTTTTTCAATTCTTACTTTTCCAAATGTATACATTTTTTTCCTGAAGCACTTTAAAATAACTTGATCAAATCATGCTGAGTTAACACAACTCCACTCTGAAGAGCAAGGTACACAGACCAGAAAGCTTCCCTTCAAGGTGAAATTAATTTTTTTTCTTCTAAAACTACCAGATATTACCATTTCTCTAAACGTTTTGCAATAACTAAGGTATATAGACCAACAGACTATAATACTATGAATTTAAAAGGTTAACCATCTGAGACAATATTAGATGATAGTTTGGAATAGTGAAAAGAACACTGGGGACATACGGAATGGCCATATGGGATGAATGCCTCCTGGAGGGCGGCACGCATGTACCCTGAACTTGCCTCCTCATGGCCAAGGTGTAGGTAGATGAGAATGCCTACCCATCAGGACTAAATGAATTTAAGCCAACCATGGTAAAGCATATAGCACTATGTATAGTTAGCTATCACTATTACACTTCCACACCTATTAAGAGACAAGACCCTCAAAAATGAAAAAAGATGCATGAAGTCAGAATTACCAATTCTTCATTTTCAAACTCCAGGTTATACTGTGCTGCTTCTTGTGTCACTGGTTTCTGAACAATGTTTCTACAGACGAGCCAGATGGTCAGGCTAGCAATGAACATCCCGATGTCAGGTACAAACACTCTGATCCCATTGCCTGCGTCAGCTCCCTTTAAACTATGGAGGGAAAAAGACGGAGAGGACATTTAGTTGTTTTTGTATTTCTATCTTAAATGCACTATCTTAAAGTACATTTGAATCTTCTTAATGATCTAAATTAAAGAATATTCATTTTCTGTCTAGAAGGTACAAGAGAACTTTTCATTGACTTCAGAATCTTATGTAATCTACTAAGTTTTAGAAAGTTTCCAGGGTTTCACTGGAGTTTCAGAAACATTATAAAGAAACTTAAATCAATTCTTACTCTCAAAATATGCTAATAAACTATATTGCTATTATATAAACTGCATGTCCAATACATATACTGGTGTTTGCAATCCAGCTGAAGTAGTTAAAAACTAGACATGTACGAGAAGCTAGAAGATATTTTACCTGAGATATAACTCAAAGCTAAAAGGGAAAAATAGAGAATATATTAAAGTAATCCTTGAATCCAGGAACCTCTTCATTATTTGTAATACTTAGCTAATTTTGTTTTCCATACTGTTCCAAGAAAGTTAGATCTGGTATGTTTCTTCTTTTAGTCTTGGAGAACTTAACAGTGAACTTAGAATTAGAACATTTGGGCTCAAGTGTCAGTACGATGCTGACTAGTCGCATTCCACTGGACTCCTCAGAGGCACAAGTTCTCTATGTCAGAACTATTTGCCTTCTTATCTCATTTGAGTCAAATGAATCAATGTTTATTAGAAATAAAACTTGTTTAAGGAGAGGAAGCGAAAGATAGGAATATATATCATGTAAGGATACATGTTTTTTTCATATACATTTTATGTAACTCAATGTATACTATATTAAATACATACCCATTTACATTTATGTATTATATATTTTGGTAAAAACATAAAAATATAATAAATAGTGAGACCCCCCTCACCTAGATACAACCATTGTTAACATTTTGGTAAATTAAAAAAATAGTAATAATATCTACCACTACTGAGCAATTGCTTTATGCTAAGAGCTTGGCACATATAATTTAATCCAACTAACCACCATACAGAGTTAGGCATTTATTTAACCTCCTTCTAGATATGAAAAAACTAAGGTTTCAAAAGGTAAACTGATTTCCCTAACATCACAGAACTAGAGAGAGAACAGAATTATATTCAAGTTCCCTTTAAGTCCAAATTTTATGCTTTCAGCCACTGTGTTCTCCTGTATGCATCCACATGGCCTTTTTTCCTATGCTTAAATGTGCATATTTAGAGTTAACAAAACTACACTCATTTTTAGCTATTATTTTGAAGCTAATTTATGCATCTAATATATCATGATAAGTTTTACAATCCATTGATGATTTTTAAACATCACCAGGCTCATGGTCAGGATAGTAGTATTTATTTAACTAGTCCACTACTCTTGTACATTTAACACGTTTCCATTTATTACTATAATAAACATAAAAGTAAATCTTAATTAATTGAAGACTATTCTAATGTAAGATCTTCTAGGGGAAAAAAACCTCAGACCAGTCTACTTTGCTTTTTTTCTTTTTTTTAGGTCTGGAAGAAGGTGTGCCCTACATAAGCTTCATTTCTACAAATGATTAAACTTTTCTGAACAGAGAAATATAAAAGTAATAAGAGATACTCCATTAATAAAACAAACATGGTTTTATGACAGGTTTTTTTGTTTTGTTTTGTTTTTAATGGCAAATTCCTTTCCTTTAAAGCAAGAGTAAGAGAGTTCAATTAAGAAAACTTCATCCTGGGCCGGCCGAGTGGCGCGTTGGTTAGGAGCTGGCTTGGGACACCAGAGGGCCCCGGTTCGGATCCCACATATGAGGGCCAGTGACACTGCCCTCTACAGCTAAGATGCTGAACAACAGCTCAACCTGGAGCTGGGCTGCCATGAGTCACCGGTGACGGCGTAGGCTGCAGCCCCTGCTGCAGTGGGTTGCCATTGGCTACCGTGTGTAACCAGCAGCCAGTGTCAGCGACTGATCTGCCTCTCCCGGGAAAAGCGCAATGATGGTGCCAACTTGGCCCAGTGAAGCAACATCCTCCACAACTAGACTGAAGAACAAAAAAGGACAGCAACTTGTCTGTTCCCCTTCCCCCAATTCCCCAATAAAAATCTTAAAAAAAAAAGAAAAGAAAACTTCAACCAAATTAAATTTATAAAGGTGAAATCTGATGGTTGATTTTATCATAGGAAAAATATAGAGGCTTGTTGTATAGTTTTAATGCATGCCTAACATGATCAAATAGCACAAATGAGAATTAATATCATTAGAATAAGAAGGAAGGGGGATCAAAAAGAGTGCTCAGAAAACCAAAGCCAGGCTTGGGTGGGTGTTTCTTGTGTGGGGCTGAGGTGAGGAGAGCTGGCTGGACCTACTGGGGTGGATTTTGGGGAACAGATTATTATAGCTCTTTCATGGAAAACAAATAGACCATGGCATTTTATGGAAAGCAGCAAGTGAGTTGAGAGGAAAAGAGCTCTTAAAGGAAAGGTAACAAGAGCTCCTCCAGCTGTGGCCTCAGCTGCTTCTTGCACCACAACAGAGACTAAGGAAGCCAGAGCAGGGCCTTATGTCTTTTCCACCTGTGGACTGCATTAAGCTTCCAATTTGCAAACAGTCCCTTTGAGGCAACAGTCTTAGCTTTGTGCTTCTTGGTCCTAAAAGAGGCATTTCATAGCATACATATATTAAGGGAGTAAATGAATGCAGTTTGCAAAAGCAATCACTCCATTGGCTGTGATAGAATTCAGCTACGAGATCCAGGATTGGGCTGAGATCCCAATTTAGAATGGAATCATTCAGCCACAGAGGTGCTAACCCATTAACTACTACTCTTGGCTTGCTGAGTTAACAAAGCAGTGAATTCATAATACTGCTGCTGCAGAAACAATGAGACTTTTGAAGAATATGTTGAAGGGCATGTGCAATGAATAAGTCATAGCTTAATTGATATGTTATTTGGGGGCCATCTTATCGATAAAGTTTACTTCTTCATTGTTTAGCCCAGCATCTACTAAAGTACATTAATCAGAATGCTAGTCCTGAGAAATGCTGTGAATTAAAGCAAAACAGACAAAAGAAAAGAAAAACCAGTCTTTGTTCCAATAAGTGTTAGGAAATCACAATGCATATTACTATGGTAAACGATTTCAGAAGTTCTGTAGTAAAACAATAAATTTGAGTTTATTTCAGCCTCTATTTCCCACATTTATTTGACCACAACCATTTCTTCAAAATTTTATCTAATACCTATTACATTTTGCTGAGCTTGTGTCCATGGCACATGTTTTAAGAAATGCTGGATTAGAGTCTGCTCACTAGTCTAGATATTCAATTGAGATGAATGGATAATTTGGAAACTACACTAACATGTAACTAATCTCTATAATTTTGTTTTTTACTAGCCCTCTAATAATTTTAGAAGCCAGTGACATCTCATTCCATTCCTTCACCCAATCACCCAAATACCCACCCATTCACTCACTAAGTCATTGCAATTATGGAGATGGAAGAAAACTAGAAATGGTCTAGTCTACTTTCTCATCTTTGTGTAAACTAACAAGGGGAAAGGTTAAATGGTTGGTTCACCTGCACAGTTGGGGGCAGAGCACTGTCTACTCAGAGCTGCCTTCTAAGAACAGCCAGCACTCACTGCACAGCTCCTTACCTTGCACATCTTTCAATTACTGACAGGCTTCCTTTCCCACACTGCTCAGAAAGTGCCCTGTCAGGGCTCACCAGCAATCTCCCAACTGCACGGCCCAAATGGTCCATTTAAATTCTCATCATACCCCACCTTGGTGCTGCACTTGACAAGCAAGATCAACCCCTTCAGCTCTCAAATCTATTCTCCTTGATTTTCTCACCTTTGTCATCTACTTCTTACCTGCCTTTAAATATCCCTGAAAACTCACATTGCTGGGAATTGCCCATAAGAAATGCTGGGCTGTATTGTGCCCACCAGACTTTTCTTCTCCACCTCCTCTTTAAATATTGATGAGTCTGCAAGTTTCTGCTCTTCACTTATTTTTCTTCTAATTCTACATGGTAAACTTGAATATCTTCATCCCCAAGACTCGAATCAGCATCTACATGACTTACAAATCTACATACCCAGTCTGAGCATGTCCCCTGAGACACATTAGCAGATATCCAATTCTTACTACATGTCTCCACATCAGTATTCCATAGCTTTTCAAAGCTAAATGCTATTATCTTTATTCCAAAATCTGCTCTCCCTCCTATATTCCTAATCTTGCAAAATGGTGCTGTCATCAATCTAGCAAACAAGACAGAATCTTTCTATTCTCTCACTGAAAAACTGGAGATTCTGTCTCCATAACATTTCTCTTACCTACCTTCCTCCTTATCCCCACAGCTCATTTTTGGCTTCTGGATTACTGTAATAACATCTTTATTATTTTGTCTTAGTTTGTCCCCTCTGCCAATCAGGTTTCCACGTTATTACCAGAGTTTAATTTTAGAGGTATGAGGTTGAGCATGTTAACCACACTACCTACAGGAAAGGCCCATATTCCTGAGGCCCTCTATGTTCCAAGATGTTTGCCTTATCCTTTGCTATGATTTTCTTGCACGTCAAATTCCAGCCATCCCTAGTGCATAATCCAGAATATACAAGAGTTTTTCGCTCTGAGCTAGTACGCAATCTTTCTCTTCAGTCAACATTGCCCTTCTCCCACAACACTTTTATCTTCTCCTCATTTTGCAAGACTAATCTCCCACATCTCCACTGAGAAGCTCTTCCGCCACCCTTCCTGTAATAGAATTGGCTACTTCCTCCTTTAGATGTTTGCCATACTTTGCACACACTCAATCATAAAATGTTTATCATTTTATGTCATTCACCTATTTACAAATCTGCCTACCAGAGCCTTCTGTCTATTTTCTCTCTGTATCCATGAGGACTACACACACACACACACACACACACACACACACACACACACACACACACACACACACCATGTTTTCCCGAAAAAAAGACCTAGCCAGAGAATAAGTCGTTGCA